TATTTCTAATTAAGTTTAAAAAGAAATTAGGATTAGATACCCTATTATTTAAATAAAAATAAAATTAATTAAATATTAAATGTAAAGCATTAAAAATAAAAAATTTGGCGGTAATTTATTATATTAGAAAAACTTGTTGATTAATTTGATAATCCACAAATGGATTAACTTAATATAAATATTTTATATATTGTTGAAAATTAAATTAAGAGATTTTAATTATAAATTTATATTATAAATTAAATTCAAATCAAAATGTAGAATTATTAAGATTTAGATGAGTTATATTGAAAAATATTTTTTTTGTAAATTATATTTAAATTTATTATTTAAAAAGGATTTAAATGTAAATTTATAAAAATTTATAAGTTGAATTATATTTAAATTATGTACAAATTGCCCGCCGTTCTTATTAATTATGATTTGTAAGAAAAGTCGTAACAAAGTAAATATATTGGAAAATGTATTTAAAATAAAAAAAAATTTTAGTTTATTTAAAAATATTTTATTTACATTGAAAAGATTAATGATTTAATATGATTTATTAAAATTAAAAAAAAATTAAATTTAAATATTTATGAAAAATTTAATATGATTTGTGTGTGTGATTATTTTAATTAAATAAAATTATAATAAAAAATTAAATAGAGTTAGTTTTTGAATTGTTGAAGTATTAAAAAAAATTAAATAAATATTATAGATATAAGTAATGTAAATGAAAATTTAAAATAAATAATTAATTAAATAAAAATAAATTTTATTAATTGTACCTTTTGTATCAGGGATTATTAAATTTTGTTGTTTATTGGAATAATTTAAATTTCTCGGAATAAAATGAGTTAAATAAAATATTAAAGTTAATGTATAAAAATTATTTTAAATATTTATTTGAAAAAGATATTTTAATCCACTTTTATGATATCTAGTTTTTTTTATATAAATTTAATTTATATATAAATCATTTACAATTAATTAAATTAATAATAAAATTTAATTAGTAAATTTATGTAAAAAATTTATGGAATTAACTATAAATTATAATTAAAATATTTTATGAATATAAATGATTTAAATAGAAAAATATTTTTTATTTTTAAAAATTTTTTATAAAAATTTAATAATTTATTATGGAATGGATTATTCTAATTTAAATATAATAATAATTTGAAAATTTGATTTAATTAAATAAAAAAATATTTTAAATAAATTAAGTATTTTAATAAATAATGATAGTATAAGTATATTTATATTAATTATATAGAAATTTTTAAATTTAAAATATATATGTATATATAATTAAAGAATTAGGCAAATTTATTTTATTAAATTAAAATTTTAATTTACTTGTTTAACAAAAACATGGTTTTTTGATAATTTAAAATTATTTCTGCTCAGTGATTTTTAAATAGCCGCAGTATATTGACTGTGCAAAGGTAGCATAATCAATTGTTTTTTAAATGAAAACTGGAATGAAGGAATTGATGAAATTAAAGCTGTTTCAATTTGTAGATTTAGAATTTAAATTTTAAGTTAAAATTCTTAAAAGAAATTATGGGATGAGAAAACCCTATTGAATTTAATATAATTTTTAAATTTATTTAAGGAAATAAATTTTATTTTAATGATTATATTTTATTGGGAGGATAATTAAATAAAATAAACTTTAATTTAAAGATAATTTTAACATTAATTAATGAAATTTTTATAAATTTTTATTTATTGATTGATTATTAAATTTGTAGAATAGTGTGAATCTCACGTTGCGAGTGGTAGGATATAAAATAGTCGCGAGAGATATATGTGCAAAATTAGCAAGTATATCCTTTAATTGGAACCTTAGCAATACAAGAAAATATACATGTGACTCAGCAGAAAAAGATACGGCACATGAAAAGGGAGAAGAACAGTAGAGAGAGAACATAAGAGGAAATATCGCTCCTTGCCTATTCGATAATCACGAGATGGCGTTACAATATAACAACGCGGAAGGTGACAGAATAGATTTAATCTATTATTCCAACAAAATTAAGAAAATTTTTTTTTTTATAATAATTATTATAAAAATTAATTACCTTAGGGATAACAGCGTAATATTTTTAGAAAGATTATATTAATAAAAATGATTGCGACCTTGATGTTGAATTAAAATAAAAATTAAATGAAGAAGTTTAATATTTTAGTCTGTTCGACTAATAAAATTTTACATGATTTGAGTTCAGATCGGTGTAAGCCAGATCGGTTTCTATCTATAATAAAATTAAGAAAATTTTGTACGAAAGGACTTTTTTTCAAATTATATTTTTTTAATGAATAAATTTAATTGATTAAATATATGTAAATAAATAAAATTACTTTGGCAGAATTTAAGTGTATTAAATTTAGAATTTAAATGATGTATAATAGAAAAAATTATACAAGTAATAATTTGTCAAAATTTAAGATTATATTTTTATAGTGCGTTAAATATATTAAGATTGTTAATTTTGTTATTAATTATATTAGTTGGGGTAGCTTTTTTAACTTTATTGGAACGAAAAATTTTAAGATATGTACAAATTCGTAAAGAACCTAATAAGGTGGGATTTATAAGATTATTTCAATCTTTTAGTGATGCTATTAAATTACTTAATAAAGAATTATTTTATGTATATAAATCTAATTATAATTTTTTTATGTCCTATAATTAGATTTGTTTTAATAATAATATGATTAGTATTTCCTTACATTACTAATATTTATTTTTTAAATTATTCTATTTTATTAATAATTGTTTTATAACTATTAGAGGGTATGTTATAATTTTTATGGGATGATCAGCTAATTCGATTTATTCAAAAATAGGGGCAATACGATCAGTTTCACAAATATTATCATTTAAAGTAAGATTTATTTTAATTGTTTTAGTTATTATATTAATAAGAGAGAGATATTCTTTTTTTGATTTTATTAATTATCAATTTTATTTATGATATATAGTAGTTTTATATCCTTTGTTTATTATATTTTTTATTAGGATTTTAGCTGAATTAAATCGAAGTCCTATAGATTTTATCGAAGGTGAGTCAGAATTAGTTTCAGGGTTTAATATTGAATATTTTAGGGGTGGGTTTACATTAATTTTTTTATCTGAATATCGAATAATTATTTTTTTTAGATTAATTAGAATTTATATATTTAGAAATTTATTAAAATATTCAATAATTTTAACTTTTATTTTAATTAATATTTTATGTAGAATAGTAATTTTTATACATGGAATACTTCCTCGAATACGATATGATGAATTAATATATTTATGTTGGAAAATTATTTTACCAATAATTTTAGTTTATATTTTATTAATTTTTGGATTTAAATTTATATTATAAATAATAATTTAGTAAAAAAAATTAAATGTTTAAAAGTTAATAAAAAATTAAAATTTCTTTAATATGTTTTCAAAACATAAACTTAAATTCAAGATCATTACCTTAATTTAATAGTAATTTATAAAAAATTTAAGTATTAAATATAATTATTTTTAATATTTTAAATTTATTTATAATGATAAATTTTTAATATTTATTTAAAAATAATTAAATCTCAAATTTTTATTAGGAAAGGTAATAAGATAAAATAAAGAAAGTAACATAATGATAAAATTTGTCTAATAATGATAAAAGGTATTTCAATAGGTTGAGCTCCTGCTCATGTTAATAGAATAAAAATATTAATGAAAATTCAAAATAAATATTGATTTAAAGGATAAAATGATAATGAATTAAATTTTATAGAAATTAGAGGTAAAAAGTATAAGATAATAATTGATGATAATAATGCAATTACACCTCTTAATTTGTTAGGGATAGATCGGAGGATAGCATAAGCATATAGAAAATATCACTCAGGTTTAATATGAATTGAAAATGTATTTTATAAATAAATGAAATATTATATATATATATATAATATATAAGTTTATATATATATATATATATATATATATATATATATATATATATATATATATACAGATATGACAACCGTTATCTTGATTTTTTCCGATTATTGATGTTACATTGCGTATAACTCTCATTTCTTTCTCTCTGCTACATAAGTACTTATAGAATAGTAATATAGAAAATCATAGAAATATATTTTTTATATAGGCGATAAACTTAAAAATTTGATATTGAAAATATTTTAATCATTTTACAACTACACACACTATAAATATATAAATGCAAAATAATTTCGTAAATAAATTTCAAGTAATAAATCAATTGCACACATGCACACAGCTGGTATGTAGATTTTTATTAAATTTATTTTCTGAATTATTTTACACTTATATATAGTGTATGTAGTAAAAATATTTTCAATATATTAAAAAATTTTTAAATCGCCGAAATATATCTTTTATCAATTTTCTATATTCCAATATATATATATATATATATATATATTATAAAAAAATTAATATTGATATATTTGAACTCTAATTTACTGGATGATATATACTGAACATCCTTGCATTGATTATACATTACTCAACGTTCTTTCACGTTATAAGTATTTGGAGCAAATTATACAATAGCATCAATAATCAAAAAGAAATCAAGAATAATCAACATATTCCTTATATAATATATATACATATATATGTATATATATATATATATATATATATATATATATATATATATACGCACATATGTGCATAAGCATATATAAAATTTACAAAAAGTAGGTACTTATTAGCCTTGCTACGCTACTGCCTTCTGCTACGGAAGGCCATTTTCAGGCGGCATCTCGCGTATACCGGCACGGTAGAGGAACAAGGAGAACACGTGATTATCGGTCCTTGTCTCTCTACGGTGCGTCCGCGTGAGCAATGCAATGGTGTATGTACGTGTACAGACATGCACCACTACATAAAACCCGAGAATTGGTTTCTCGGCGTTGGCAACACTGAAATCGGAGTTTCGCGTTGTCACCGCGCGAGGTCTCCAACATCAATTCGGAGTTTGGCCGACCGACCTGTCGACCCTTAACATCGCTCACCACTATGCCGGAGTACCCGTGTGCTCTCCTCACGTGCGCGCGCTCCTAGGTTTGCGCCCTGTTCGCGCGACGCCGAGGGCGGCAGCTGCCGGTGACGATGACCTGTCAAATTGACGCTTGCGCAATCAGCTGATCGGCTGATTCCTTACAGCTTGGCCATTCTGCTCAGAATTTCGCCGCGAAATTACAGATTTATTATTTTTTTTTTTAACAATTGTACAACGCATATCCCGGGTTCATCTATTCTATGCAGGTACGTATTACAATCACCTAGATTTTTTCTCTTTTTTTACAATATAACTTTTCCTTATTCTAACTACGCATATTATATATATGTGAACTCGCATTTTAAACTTATTAATACTATAACACAGAAATTATATATATGTAAACTCGCATTTTAAACTTATTAATACTATAACAGAAATTATATATATATTTTAACATAACAAGAATTATATAAGCTGTTCCTATTTCTTTTTTTAATTGTCGCTCTCTTTTTTTTCCTATCTTTATCCAGGGTTTGATTCTATCGGCTGAAAGGATAGTGTCAAGAGGTTTCTGTTTGAAATTGAAGCCTGGGATATTCTTGACTACATATCTACTATTACCCAGACTCTTTGCAATGAGGTAAGGCCCCTTGTAATTCAGTTTAAGCTTCGAGCTTGTGCCTATTCTAGGGGTAGTATTTCTTATTAAGACAGAATCGCCTGGTTTGTAAAGTGTCGGCTTAATACTATGAGCATCCTTATATTCCTTGTTATATATGCACAAGATCTGTTGCTCGCGAGGCATCGTCCTTATTTAAGTCCCTTTCTTTTTCTAGGTCCTCATCAACCGTGACAGGGGTCTTTGTGAAGCTGGCTAAGGAGTGATCTGCATGGTTGCACTGGTCAAAGCATAACATCAACTTTGCTGGACCAGATTTGATTACCGAGTGGTAAGTATTATTTATAACATATTGCATCTTTCCTAGGTAACTTTTCCGCTCGTCGGTTGAGTCTATTATTTTAGTCAAAGATGATTTCAAAAATCTATTCACTCCCTCTACTGTTCCATTAGCCTATGGTGCTGCGACAGCCGCCTTGCGGTGTTTAATATCTTTGATCGAGATTGATTCTATAAATTCTTTTGATGTAAAGGTTGTCCCTCGGTCTGAAATTAATTCTGCAGGATTGCCAAAAATTGTAAAGATATTTTCAAGACAGTCAATTGATTCCTTGCTACTAGTTGATTTAGTAGGGAACAACCATGTAAATCTAGTGAATGCATCGATTGCAACTAATATATATTTATATTTTTCAGGAGTCTTGCAGTGGACCGAAGTGGTCTACATGCAGTGCATCTAAAGGTATCTTGGGCAACGGATACAGCTGAGATTTTCTCTCAAATCTATTCAACGCGTTATTAGCAGTGAGACAAGTAAGACAATTCTTTATGTAGTCACGCACACGCTTTCTCGTGGTGAGAAACCAATAGTTTTGTATGATTTCCATCACAGTTTTCTCTGCTTTGCAGTGGGCCATCTCATCATGGTAGATTTTTATTATATTACCTATTATTGATTCAGGAATTACAAATTTAAGCTCATTCTCAACTTTTTTGTATACCAGGCCGTCTACTAGTTCGAATTTATCACTGCTTTCTAATTCTAACGTTTTACTAATTTCCAGGATTCTAGGGTCTGTTAGCTGAAGGAATTCAAGCTGTCTTTCTAGCGGGAGTTCGTCTACATGTGCTACGCTCCGGCTAAGGGCGTCTACGTGCGCCATGCGACTACCAGGACGGTGTACAATATCGAAGGTATAATTTTGTAATGCCAGAATCCATCTCGCGATTTGCGAGTTTAGATTCGCCTTGTTCACCGCATATACGACCGCGTTACAATCAGTTACAATGGTAAATCACGTACCATATAAATATATATGAAAACATTCAATTGACTTAATAATCGCTAACATTTCCAGCTGTTCGCATTCGTAGCTGTGATACTTCGCCTCCGCGGCGTTCGTGCCCTGGCTGAAGTACGCTACCGGTCCCCAGTTATCACGACGCTGGAGAAGAATCGCACCGAATCCTAAGCTACATGCGTCGGTATGCAATTGGGTTTCAGCCGACGTATTATACAACCACAGCAACGGAGTGGAGGTCAGCTCTTTTCTTAAGGACTCAAACGCTTGAACGCATTGCTCGTCAAAGTTATATACAACGTCTTTTTTAATAAGTTTTGAAGCGGTTTGGCTTTTAACGCAAAGTTTTTGACAAATTTTCTAAAATAACTCGCGAGACCTAAAAAACGCTGTAACTTCAATCTGTCTGTCGGCTGTTTATAGCTCGTGATCGCGTCCACGTGTCGGGGACTTAAGGTAATACTGTCCGTGTTTATAATATAGCCTAAGAATTCTATCTCTTTTTTCAAAAATTTGCATTTTCTGAAATTTAATTCAAAACCGTGTTTTTTTAATGTAATCAGAACTTCTAATATATCTAAATTCTGATCAACCATTACTGATTGTATCAAAACGTCATTTATGTAGATATCTATCACCTTGTTTTGTCTAATCAATGGATTGAGTATCTGTATGAGTCTTTTTTGAAATTTGGCCGGTGCCTCACAATACCGAAAGGTAACCGTGTGAATTCAAATTGACCATCCGGGGTTGCAAACGAAAAATACTTTGTAGAGTCTTCATGCACCTTAATCTGGTGGAAGCTGTCTTTTAGATCTAACAATGTAAAAACGCGACTGCCACTCAACCGTGACAGGCATTCCTCGATAACCGGGAACGGATATTTCTGTTTCACCACGCGATTATTTAATGGTCGCAAATCGACACATAAACGCATTTGACCCTTTTTTTTTCTTACAGGTACAACTCGAGCACAATAAGGCGAGACGCTGGGTTTTATAATTCCGCGGGCTAGGAGGTCGTCCGTAATTTGTCGTATCTGCGTCCGCTCGACATTTGCGAAGCGCCTAGGTGCGAACGCATAGATCGACGGATCTTTCAAGTGAACGTGTACCGCAAAATCGTCGCTAACAGGTGAAGTTTCCTGCTCTTGGATCTTCAAAATAAGTTTTTCTTTTGTTTGTCTGTACTTTTGTTTCGTGTTCGAAGTCTATCTCATGATTTTCAATTATTTGTTTCAGATTCGAGTCTTCATCTATACAAAGGGGCAAGTGCGAAAACATGTTTACTTGGTCGCGTTCACCTTGTGCCGCTGGTTCGTACACTAAGGTGAGATTACTTTTTGTCAAAAACTCTCTACCGAGAATAATATCGCCCTGAAAAGCGTCGGAATGCAAAACATACAAGTTGATCGAAAACACTTTGTCCTCTATTTTTGTAACTTTATTTGTACTTCTACCGAACCAAGGATGTTTAACGGAATGCTCGAGAGATTTCTCAAATTCGTTTCTACCGATTTTAATACGCGAAACGGCGCAATATATTTTTCGTAAATGCTTTTTTTTTTACAAATGAAACCGGACTGCCCGTATCAACGAGGTCTAGTAAACTACATGATTTTTCTAGGATTTTATCTATACGGACTAGCGGATCATCGACAATTAAGTTACGCGCATCCTGGGTCGCTGCTACGAGGTCGGACGCTACCGTATCGGCCGTTACGCTGGCCGCAGCGATCCCTGCTGCTGGCTGCACCCTGGTCGCCGACTTCGTCTCCTTCTTAAGGATAGGGCAATCGAACCGTCGATGCCCTTTTTCCTTACAATAGAAACAGGTAGGCTCACCTCGACAATCCTTGTGAGAATGTCCCTTTTTACCGCAGTTTTTGCAGGAGTCCTTGCCACCTTTGCTGGACGGACCCGCCTGCGGGGACTTCTTATCCCACTCGGAGGCGCCCTGGGTGATCCGCCGCATCCTCTCCAGGAAACCGTCCAAGGAGTCCTCCGATAGAGACAGCGCAGTCGCATTCAACGTCGTCAGGGTGATTCCGCTCACCAGTAAGTGTACTTTGTCCGCTTCAGGAAGGTCCACCCTGTGCATTATTGCTAGCTTTTGATGGCGTATTCATCGAAAGTTTCTTTGGCTGGAAGCCACTTCCGTGCCTCGATCTTCTGCATCACGCGGAAGAACGGTATTTTTCGGTCGAAAATTTTCACCATCTCCGTTCGCAGGTCGCTCCACGACTCCACCGCGGCGTCTCCCTGGACGTCGTACCACCGGCGGGCCGATTTTGTAAGGCGGCTGGAAGCTGCTTGGAAGATCGCTCCATCAGAGACGCTGTGCACCTGGACGACTTTGTCAACTCGTCGCACCCACGCGTGCACGTTGTTTTCGTCCTGGCCCGCAAATTCCGGGATCTGTGAAGCCAGCGCCTGGACTGATCCGCCCGGCGTCCAGGACTGCTGTCCAACGGTCAATTTTGTCCGTCGGCGAAACTCTCGGGGCCCTCGAGGGTCCCGGCGGGGAAACTGGCTCCGCTTCATGGTGCTGAACCGGGGCAGCGGCGGTCTCTCGTCGCTGCTCCAAAACTACATTGAACAGTAGGTTCAACTGCTGCTGCTGGAGGGCCACCAGCATCTGCCTCATCAGGTCCGTCGTCTCCTGCGTTTCCGATGACGTCGCCTGCAGTTCCGATGCCGTCGCCTGCGGCTCCGAGACCGTCGCCAACGTTTTCAACAGGTCTGCGGTCTTTGCCGGCACCGCTTTCTTGGTCGGACTAAGAGGAGGAGTGAGTTGGGCCATCTCCTGTACTAGTCCATGTCTTTCTAGATGACTCATAATAGAGTCCAACAAATGACTGCGGCCTTCCGTCGTTGGGAGTGCGTACCTCTCTGCTTTCTTACGAAGCTGTTCTAACGTGAGGTTTTCAAGGACTGTACCAAAGCGAATAAATCGCCTATTTATAAAAAGACAAACTGTTCTTCTTTTTCTAAAAACACCCGAATTCCGACGGATACTCCACACGTATCCCACTTCTGAAGTTGAAATAAAGTCTATATTTAAGAATCTATGAAATGACCGTTATATATTTATTTGAACCGTAACGAAGGCGCGGATATGCGGAGGATCGGAGACAAGGATATTTGAGTGCCACAATAGATAATTAGCCAATTATAATTATGTAAGCATATCATATATTTTAAAGATTGTGTTGGTCATCGTTTACAATTAGATTATAAAATTTGATCGGTTACAGAAATCACTAGATTATGTCTTTTATAATCAGCGTTCATCTCAATCAGTTAATTAGAGGTGAAATAAGTATTTATGAGATGATGCATAAAGCAGATATCTTCACGACTCCCACAACGCTTGCGGTTTACTTTTTCGCTTACTTTTTGAATAATCATTTACTTATAATTTTTTTTTAAACATAATTGACTGTCTATTGCTAACGTATTTAATATCTGGTTATTGTAAAATATTTTTATACACATTATGACTCCTGTAGGTTATTAGTTTTGATACAATGTTTTAGTTGATTTTTTTTGTAATTATTTATATTTTGCGCTGAAGACGACTTGAAAAATCAAATCAAAACGTCCGTTCTGACTTCGTTCTAACGTTTCTCTATGAGTCTATTTATTTAATTTATTTTATTGTAATTGTCAAATTCCATACATATGCGATTAATCATATTTTATTTAATTTTTACTTGTATCTTATAATTTCTTATTATATGCGTTGATTTTTATTAAACTTAATTCCCATTTACACAGCTCTTACAAGTCTTTTTATACTCCTTATTTTTAATAAAAAGAGCTTTTTCAATTGTTATTTAAAAAAAATTATTTTTAAAAATAAGAAATTATTATGATGTTTCTTTTTGTATATTTTTTATCTTCTTTTTTTTCAGGCAGCAAATGCATGATGTTCAAATGATGTGCGCTTGCTACCTGAATTGGAGTATTAGTAAATATTTCGTTATTGATATAATTTATCTATAATTTCAAATCTATATAATTTGTATGATCTTTTCTTTTTCTCCTTATTATTCTCTTTGCCATGCTTAGCGAAATTTCGAATGACTAAACCTCGTATTTTGTGTATTTTTTAATTTATCTTTCTTTCATTATACTTCCTTTTTTAATTTTTTCGCCTTTGCTGTGTGTTTTTCTACTTCTCTGCTCGAATACTCCTTTTTTCCTGTTCTACTTCCTTTTTTTTCAAAGAAAAAACTTTCTCAAAGAAGAATACTTTCAAAAAATATATACAATACGTTATTCGGTTTCTCCATATTTAATTCCTTCCTCAACCTATAGATATATATATTTATTTTGTTCAATTAGATATCAATTAATCTTGCATAATTTTTAATACTGCTATTAGTTTTGTAAATAATACAGTCTGTAATATTAACTAATTTTACAATTTACTGCGGGCGATGTTTCTCTGTATCATTCAAAAGTTCTCATCATTTTCAAAATAGTATACTATTTTTAAAATAGCAACGGTCATGTGACTTGAAATTAATTATATACAATGAATTCTATATATGTATATGTATGCTACATTAAAACTGAAATGTTCAGTGCATTTGTAAAAAACCACGAAAAAAAGAAATATAAATAGCACATATATATTCTTTTTTCTTTGTCTTTATATATGTATACGATTTATTTATTTCTGAGCCTTTGTTAAAAAATAAGGAGATTTTTAATTTTTTTTTAAACAATTCAATGAATCTTTTTGAAACTGTTAGAGTATTTTATTAAACCATCAAACCACACCACAGTTAATATAAATGGTTGTGTCCAAAGAAAAAAATCCAAGTGAACACAGTGTGATTGAACACAACCATTCATATCGCCCGAAGCTTAAAGTGACTAGCACACGATTGACAATCAGAAAGTCCTGCCTTTAATTGACCAATAAATAAGATGATCAATTAGACTCATGTACAAATGAATCTTTGCCTATTTCATGCTAAAAAATAACTTGCAAGATCTAGAAATTTTCTAAAATTTTAGGAGAGATGGATATCCATCGCCAAATCATTTAATATCGTATGAAAATCAAAAACAGGAGAAGCTTCACGTGGCAAAATTAAAATATATGTATGTTTAAAATATAGAAATAAAACATAAAAATAGCCTATATACGGGTGTCCCATAATTCGCGAACCACCGCGAATGGGCAGATAGAGCGTGTTAAACTGAATAGAAAAGTCCTGTATCATTTTGCGATATTTGCAATAATTATTGAGTTATTTATTAAAATATCTAAACGAATAAGCAGGTAGAAAGCATTATTTGATCGAGAGGCGGCGTCATGCAGCGAGCGGCGACCAATGTAGTGGCGCCGAAAAGTAAGATGATACTTTTGATACTAAGCGGTACATGCACACCGAGTCCGGCCTACCGCTTTCTACCCGCTCATTCGTTTAGATATTTTAGTTAATAACTCAATAATTATTGCGAATATCGCAAAACGATACAGGACTTTTCTATTTAGTTTAACACGCTCTATCTGCCCATTCGCGGTGGTTCGCGAATTATGGGACACTCTGTATATCAGGCATTTTAAATATTAAAATAACGAAAAAAATTGATTTAAAAAAATAATAAAACATCACTATTTTGGATTGAAAATTTTATATATGTATATAATATGTGGATTGGTTTTAATAAAAGTATTATATATATGATTTGTAAAATCTATTTTCACAAATTTGACTATTTGGATAAGAAATCACATGCTTAATATATATAATATTAATTTAAAAATGCAGTTTTATATTATATATACTTGCATAATTTGATTAATTTATTGTTTACAGTTGCACAGAATGTCCTGTGAATGTTAATTTTATATCTATTTTAAATTCATGAACATTGGATCTAAAATGGATATAAAATGAACATTCATGGTATATTTAATTTGAGACATCAATCAGTGGATCATATTTAGATATCCATAGACGGAGAGAATTTTCTCTTAAAATTTACCCAGAAAATTATGGTAATCGTGGGATAATACCCTGTGAGAAATGATGATCGAATCGATGTCAATTCGTTGTCGAATCGATGTCGAATCGATGACGATTCGACTAATCATTTCTCACTGGGTATTGGAAGAATTTTATAAGGGTTTCTCTGAGTAATATTTATCACAATAAAAAATATTAATATGTACATAATAAATTTTACTACGTACATAGTAAAATTAATCGAGTATATTTTATATCTTATTATGGTAGATATTAATATTTTTATTATGATAAATATTAATCAGAAAAACTCTTATAAAATTCTTCCAACATCATATTGTCCTAGGATTATCATAATTTTTAGGGTAAATTCTAAGAGAAAATTTTTTCTGTGTAGAGAATGTCCAGTCTTGAGCATCCCATATAACATAAGATCTTCGTAGAATATCTTTATTTGGTCGAAATTATCTCAAATATACAATATATATAATGAATCAGATTAAATTTTCCTGAAGAATTACCTAAAGATATCCCCTAGAGCACAAAATATTGCTAAAATATTGCATAAATATTTTTTTATTGCGTCATATTACAAATATTACAGCAATATTATGCAAATATTATAAATTATTATTTTATTGAAGTTGCAAAATATTACCATTTACCGCTATGCATCACACGTGAAGTTAATCTGTCTCGCATTTAAATTTTAGTCATGAGATTAACATGCCAAAAGCGGCTATTAGAATTACTTATTTCTATTAATTTTATCTGATGCGATTCCAACAGAGAACTCAGATATTCAACTGATTGTTCAAAAATATCGGACAAATAAATGACGAAGAAAATAAAAAATAAGAAATATGCTGTAATATTTTATAAATATTACCCAGACAGCACACAATATTTATAATAAAGATTCATAAATATTTATGAATATATATATATATATATATACATATATATATTTTCAAATATTATATAAATATTTTGAAAATGTTTTATAAAAACCTTTATTTAACATATTATTAAAACATAGATTAAATATTTTATATAATATTTATGGTATGTAAAGATAAATATTTTAAAAATCTAATCGACCAAATTTTAGAGATTAGACTATATATCAATCGATCACTTTGATTGAAAAATCGTTGATTATGTCTTTTTAACTCATGATTTCTTACTGGGTATTTATTAAAGAAAATATAAATTTTAAAAAATCTGTATTATAATGATTTAATAAATATATTTATAACATTTACCATAATATTTATCGTAAATATTTGTTGATATTTATGATAAATATTTATGATCTATTGAATTTAAGACTCCAAAAATATTTATAAAATATTTATGATAAGTATTATATTTATAAAATAATAAAATAATTATAAATATTCTGTGCTGTCTGAAACTATTTACAATAATTTTAATATTTTATTTATTTATTTATTTAAAATGTTGGTTGCATAAATTCTGCAAGAAAATGTTTTAATATAAAAATTTAAATTAAACTTTAAAACTTAAAAACACTGAAAAAACATTTGTTAACTTGACTAAACTTTTTAACTATATATGTATATATTATTTTTGTCAATTAAACTCAGGATTGAGTAATAGTTATTGTTATAATTAGTTAAAAGTTAAAAAAAGTTAAAAAGGTAATAACTTTTAACTTAGCTTAGTTAATTTAAAATGTATTAATTTTAGTTATTTTTGACCTTAAACTTTTATTAACTTTTTTCCTAAGTTAAATTTTTAAAATTTCTGAATCTCATTATTGTTTTTTTATAAATTATAAATAGTGTTTACTGTTATCTAAATAAAACTATATATATGATTATCTAGATAAAACTTTGACGTCATCTTATCTTTATATAGATAATAAAAATATGTATTAACTATATCTACATCTTAGATGAAAAAGATATCTATTATCTTTACTAAATTAATCTAGAATAATTTTCAGAAAATTTTGCTTTA